ATTGATGATGAAAGTTATATACATAATATGGAAAGTGAGAAGGCTACAGTAAATTCTTTCGTGTTTGAATAGAATTAGAAGTATCAGTTTGATTACATGGTCTTCAACATATATATACAGCTTTAAATATAGATATGTCTATGTATGCATATGCGTATACACACATATAGCTCCTAGTTCTGTCAGCTCAAAGAACCCAGAACTACTGACTCTCTGGAAACATTAAGTACACTTAGCATCTAGAGCCTGATTTCTAAATACCATTTTCCACTTAAAAAAGACAAGGCTCTTATGAAAAAATGGCTAATGCCAGGGCTGGGGTGGAGGAAACGAAAGATGATTCTGGAATGTTTACTGTACCAAATGTAAAGAAATGCTTGAAAAATAATGGAGATATGTCAGGAATACACCAAAGGGTAGAGCCAGCTCTAAGGGGCTCTCACCAGCCAAGTTGAGATATAGCTGAAAAGGTCCCACAGAGATTCATGATAAAGCTTGTTACAACTGCCCCTCCCTTGGTCTCAAAACATTCTCTTTGCAAAACTGACTAAAGGGCGGACAGAACTGTTTCTAGCAGGACAGGCCCCAACCTCATATGCTCTCTCAAATTCTACCTGTTACACCACTATAAACTTCCCTTTTTCTCTACAAAGAAAGCAGTGCCAGGAAGGAGGCTAGGATTTAAGCAGACTGTCCACTTACCTCAGAGGCCCTTAGGACTAACTCCATCATGTCTTCTATGCCTGTTTACCAACCAAATACAAAGCCACGAAACTCATACGTTATCCCTATACCCACATCCATACAGCATTGTGAGATGCACTCAAGTCTGACACAATTTTATGACTGTCCTTGCTCCACCAAACCCTTTCACTGTTTGTCCTGGAACTTACAATCTACCATTTGGAAAACTCCTTGTATCATAAACTCCAATTTTGTTCCCCTTTTTGTCTAAGAAAACAAGACTATCTCCTGAGGACACCATTTCCTCTGCAGCTCTCACAAATGGTGTCACTTTTTTCTTCCAAACCTTCATATGATTGTGTCTAGAGCTAAGGTAGGTCTCCTTGCTCTTTGGTGCTTCTAGACTTCCTTCCATTTGCCATCCTAAAACTTCCGACTCCCCTGAAACACAGGCCAACTGACTATATTCCCTGCTGCTGTTCCTTGGGCAGTTGTATAAAAAACCTTCCACAAGTCCTTCATTCACAGACTTTGGCACTATCTTAAGTTTTCTTTTTCTGCCACTATTTCTGTCATTGTTTTTGACAACTTCAATATCCAGACAAAAAATGCATATAACACATTAGCCTCTCAGTTCCTGGTCCTGTCTGTTTCCAACAATCTTGTTCTCCACCACGCCTCAACGATCATTCCCATGGTTATATCTTACATTCAACTACAATACTCCAATACTCAATTTCAAGCATTCTGTAACTAACCATCACCTCTGACTTCTCATCTCAGTCTCTCAATACAACTCCATCAACTACAATCTGTTTATCTATTTGTCCAAACCAAGCTCACACAAAGCTGAAATTCCATAATCCCTCATTATAATAACTCCCTTGCCCTTTACTCCCTTCTGTGTTACACTGACCTGCTAAAACCAAAATCTGGTTAAAATCAACTGTTGGTCTTGTCCTTACCTCTATGCAAATAGCTAAATGTGACTAAAGAGAAAAAACACAACTATGCGAACTGGTCTCCTTTTAAATTTATGAACATAAATTTCAAGTGGGCCTTCAATGCTGCCAGTCTAATCTTGTATTTATTTACATGATCAATGTATTTTTTCATTTCTCAAAGTGATAACTTCACAACTTCTCCCATCTCCAAGTCCCCAGAATTTTAACTTTTTTTCTTGCCAACCAAATACTGCTAATAACCCCGCATCTTACTTCACTATAAAAAAAATAGAAATAATTTCAAGCAAACTTTCACAACCTCCTACCATCAACTATATCAAGTGATTTGCATTTACATATGTATGTACTTGGCTTTCCCTCCTGTATTAGGTCGTTCTTGCATTGCTATAAAGAAATACCTAAGACTGTGGAATTTATAAAGAAAAGAGGTTTAATTGGCTCACAGTTCTGCAGGCTATACAGAAAGCATGGCACCACCATCTGCTTGGCTTCTGGGGAAGCCCCAGGGAGATTTTACTCACTGCAGAAGGCTAAGGTGGGAGCTTGCACATCACATGACCAGAGCAGAAGCAAGAGAATGAGGGTGGGAGAGAGGTGCCATACACTGTTTTGTTTTTTTGAGACAGAATCTCGCTCTGTTGCCCAGGCTGGAGTGCAATGGTGTGATCTTGGCTCACTGCAACCTTGGCCTCCCAGGTTCAAGTGATTCTCCTGCCTCAGCCTCCAAGGTAGCTGAGATTACAGGCGCATGACACCATGCCCAGCTAATTTTTGTATTTTTAGTAGAGACGTGGTTTCATCATGTTGGTCAGGCCGCTCTCTATCTCCTGACCTCGTAATCTGCCCACCTCAGCCTCCCAAAGTGCTGGGATTACAGGCTTGAGCCATTGTGCCTGGCCAGTGCCATACACTTTTAAACAATCAGATTTTATGAGAACTGACTCACTACTGGGAGGACAGTCCAAGTCATGAGGAATCTGTCCCCAGGACCCAAACACCTCCAACCAGGCCCCACCGCCAACACTGGGGATTACATCTCAACATGAGATCTGGAGGGGATGTCCAAACTATATCACCTTCTGATATGGATCTATGTGTCCACAATACATCCTCTGACAAGTACACTAAACCCCATCCTGTCTTCACAACTTAAGGACCCTACTCCTGCAACTGATATCCCCTCTTTCATTACTGATTTTTCATTTTCTGAGTAATTAATCACATCACACTCCAATTTCTCACCTAAAATAAGATACCCTTACTTGATAAAGGAAAAAATATGTATAGTATACCACTACTTTTAAAAATACTTATTTTATTTTTAAAATTTATTTATTTATTTATATTTTGAGACAGAGTCTTACTCTGTTGCTCAGGCTGAAGTGCAGTGGTGTTATCTCGGCCCACTGCAACTTCTGCCTCCCCGTTCAAGCAATTCTCCCTGCCTTAGCCTCCCAAGTAGCTGGGATTACAAGAGCCTGCCACCACACCCAGCTAATTTTTATATTTTTAGTAGAGATGGGGTGGTTTCACCATGTTGGCCAGGCTGGTCTCAAACTCCTGACTTCAGGTGATCCACCCACCTCAACCTCCCAAACAGCTAGGATTACAGGTGTGAGCCACTGTTCCTGGCCAAAAAATACTTATTTTAAAACACCTTAAAGACTCATAAATTGCACAAATAATATAAAGAATTCCCATGTACTCTTCACTCAATTTTCCAGTGATAACAGCTTACATAACCATCGTCAAAACCAGGAAAATGACATTGGTATGTAATATATCGCTATCTACATATATATATTTTTAAGGAGGATAGCCCATACCTTTTCAAAAGATCACCTGTAGGATGGAGAAAACAAGGTGGAGCTTGACTTCTTTGAATATAACTTATTTTGTAGATTTGACTTTGGAACTATGTAGATATTTTATATTATTGTAAAACTAAATTGAATTTGAACAAGGAATCCCTAAAAACAGGCTAACTTAAATGAGTATTCACTTGGTGGTATAACCATAGAGTGTAACAACTGTAAATCATATCAAAACTCTATTATCTGGTTGTCTATCTGTATTAGGGTATACCCTATGGACAAAAAGAACTGAAAAACAATTTTAAAAATTTTAGTAATAATAATATTAGTGGTAATATTGGTAGTTTTAGGTAGTAAATGTGTAAGATAAGTCCGGGACATTCTGCCATAGTAAATACATAAGGTAGCAAGAAAGTTACCAAAAAGTATTTAAGCTGTTTCAAAAGGCCTTGGGCACCAACCTTAAGAGCTCTCCTTGAACAAAGATGGGACAATATGAGCATCAATAAAGACAATAACTGCAGTGGATTGAAAAACTTCAAGTATGTTTAAACCCATGAATACATGATACTTGAAAGCAAAACAAAAAAATGAATTATTACCAATGGACTATGCTAATACACCAATTCATTCTTTTGAAAAATTGATTAACTAAACAGAATCCTTTCCCATGAGCTGTACTACTAAGAAATCAAAAAATGTGAGGAAATTTCTCTATATAGAAGTATCCAAGCTAGTAAATAAAAAAGAAATATTAGAGGAACACACCATTTTGCAACTCCTAATGAATTCATGAGTCTAGGCACTGAGCACGAATGACTGCTAACATCATGTAAGACAGCCAACCTCCAAGCAGAATGATTAAATATTACATCAAGGTTTTTACAACCAATACATATTCTATTTAAATTTCTTTCAAGTCAGGAATTCTACAAAACTGATCCATCTGTTTCACTTATGATCTCTAAATCGAGTCAACAAACTTTCTGTAAAGGGCCAGTTGGCAAATATTTTGGGGTTTCTCGGACATAGGGTCTCTGTTGCAGTTACGTAAACTCTGTCTCTGCTATTGCAGTGTGAAAGTCGCCTTGGACAATAGGTAAATAAGTGGGTGTGACTTTATAAAAACACATGGTGGGAAAAATTTCATTAATGGACTATAGTTTGCTGACCTGCCCTAAATGATAAGGTAGAGAAATCAATGATTCCTAATGATAAATTAATTTTCCCCACAAGAAAAGTTAATCTGGTGATTATTATTCAGTCCCCAAATTGAAATTAGCAGAAGAAATAGTCAACATTATTTTCTGGCTGACCATCTCTTAATTTATTTTGTTAATTTAAAATGTGTGGTAAGCATCAAACGTGTTTTGACAACTCCAAGTCCAAAGTTTATAATTTTTCAAACTGTAATAAAGCAGATTTTATATGTTAGGAATCCAGTAATAACTCCTTATTTACTGAATTAACTTGATAAATACAGGTATAAATACATAGGTATATACACAGAAGTAATTTAGATAGTTGGACACTTTACCTTATCAGAAAACCAAATGAGCCTGGAATCTTCATAATACCTAAACATGCCATATTTAGGATCCAATAATTCCCTCATGATGAGCAAGAAAAATTCTTTGCGTACCCCTCCTGCATCCACAGCATCTTCTCCAACAAATATAACCTAAAATAGCACAATGCAAACACCAAATAGTCTGTAAAGAAATGAAACTACATTCTGGAGACCCTATAACATGTTATTTATTACTAAGAAATATTCAATAATTAACAGTTTACATATATAATTTGATTTATTAAGTTTCAAAGATTGACAAAAAACAAATAGGAAAACTTTAAACATGACTTCTGAATAACAGTCCCAATTAAACAACAGAAAATGTGAAATTACCTTGAGTGGCTTTTTGTAATCTATGTTCTTTGTTTTCCTAAGGACTTCCATTGCATCTCCTACAATATTTTCTCTACGCACCACTAGAATTAAGCAGGGATTCACAGATTCAATCACTGGGAGAAAAAGAGAGGAGACGTTCTGTCTGTGGGCCTGATCAATAGCCATCTAGAAAACAAAAGATTAACATTTTAACAGCAATGCTACAATAAAGCTACTGTGACTGAAAGAAGCTAACCTCTACCGATTAGTTATAGGTATTCTATAATTCCTATACTACTTAATTAACAAAGCATCTAACACAGTATCCAGTATGGCATACAAACTTAATAAACTGAGCATAAAGAGTACCCTTTAGAATGTTTTTATATTAACGTATAGCCCATAACACCATTAAAGTAACCAAGTATAGAACTATAATAATACTGATAAATCTGAGCACTGGTTTTCCTAAAAAACATTCACTGGAGGGTAGGGTAAAGAAGAGAAAAAAACAAACCTTTAAAGAATATAAGGAATAGGCCAGGTGCAGTGGCTCACGCCTGTAATCCCAGCACTTTGGGAGGCCAATGAGGACAGATCACTTGAGGTCAGGAGTTCGAGACCAGCCTGGCCAACATGGTGAAACCCTGTCTCTACTAAAAATACAAAAAGTAGCAGGGCATGGTGGTGGGCGCCTGTAATCCCAGCTACTCAGGAAGCTGAGGAAAGAGAATCACTTGAACCCAGGAGGCAGAAGTTGCAGTGAGCAGAGACTGTGCCATTCCACTACAGGCTGGGTGACAAGAGCAAAACTCTGTCTCAAAATAAAAAAATAAAAAACAAAGAGAATAAGAAACAATTTGGCTAAGGAAGTATTATACAAATTCACTTAATTAACTGATCATCATATGTGCTCACAAACCAAGCGTTTGCCTTTTATCATTTAAAACTTTTGTTCTTTTCTTACGGTTCTTCCTGAGTTCTTGTTCTAAAATGGAATATCCCATGTTAAAATCACCAAGTTATTAACTTACTGTTTTAACAAAGACCTCCAAATAACTGGTTCACTAGCTGTTAGTATAGAATCCTACAAAAATATTTAGAATACCAAATGCATTTATTTGAACAGAATAAAAATGGTTAACAAGATTTGAAGGTTTAATTTTTAAAAATATTTTTAGATTATTAAACATTCAAGCTCTTTTTCATCCTTTCCTTAATCCTTAGTTGGTATAGTCAGATATTCTATACCAGAGGAAGCAGCTCAAAATCTTTTTTATTTACAAGATCAAATGATAAAGCAAACTTACTGTAACCCTTTAAAGTCATAATATGTAGTTGTTTTAAAAATCCCCATTATAAAACAAAGAATGCTCAACATAAAATGAATGTGGAAGGGTGGTAGGAAGGGGAGATGAAAGAGAAATAGGAGACAATGGCGACCAACCCCAGGAAAATATTTAATACCTTATTATTAAAACTTTCTTCAAGGAAATTTCATATCCTCTTCCTAACAAGAGATCAAATGCTTCCTATTTTAACATCACCTCACTTCTAGTAACTTCCATCTGTTACTAAGTATGTAAAATGGGGACATATAGCTACCCAAGGTACTTTGCATACCTTCATGACTGATCCTAGAAAAATTTCAACTATTTATTGTCTAAAAACATGAAAGAAACAATTTTTTAAAAAAAGCAACTCAAATTAGATTAGTATTATACAATGTTTTACCTGCATCTGTAAGACTGCATCTGTCTGTAACAGAGTAGTTTTTGCTTGGGCATCAAATACAAATGGATATGTGCAGATTGTAACAGGGATATCTGCCAACTGGAAATAAAAAATTAACTTATTAGTACAAGTTGATTTGTGATATGCTTATTGTGGATGCTGTCATTTTTTATAAAGTTGACTTACATTCTTTATTCACTCATGTGGTTCAGGAATTAAAAATAAAACATGCTGCTTACAGAATTTTTAAAAATTAAATGAGGCATTGGAATAAACCCAATTTGCAATTTTAGGGGGCAACTATATACTTGAGAGTCCATACAATCATATACTGCAAGTATCTTTTGCTTACCGTATATTAATTGCAAGTCTCAGTGAATGAGGTTACAAATTTGTTCTAAAATCAGGGGCTCCTATGTTAAATACTATAACCAGTTTTTACATGTTAGGGCAACAGCAACAACTGAGGCTAATGATAAGTAATCTGTCTATTCCTTCATTTAACAGATATTAGTATAATGTCATTAGGGTGTCAAAATTATTATGAGTCCAACAATCTGTTCCTTTACTTAATATACCAAAAAAAGTACCATTTTTATTATGTTAGCCTTTAAAGTTAGGAAAACTGATCTATTATTATAATTATCAGACATTAGACACTTTATAGACAATTGCTTATCCTAGCAGTTAATACAATGATTGACTGCTTAGTATTTTAACCATGCAGTAAAATATAAAGAGTTATTAATTGCCAGTCACACATTCTTGTAGTTGGAAGAGGACCTACTTCTACCATTGACTCAACAAGACAATAATATCTTTATGCCTGCCCTGACTCAGAGTCCCTGCTATAAGACTTCCAATGAATTAATATACCATAAAAAATCCACTTCTTAGTGATTAGATAATTCTTCATAGTCTGAATCTGCATTTCTTTCTTTCTTATTTTTTTTTTTTTTTTTTTTAACACCAAGTCTTACACTGTCACATGGGCTGGAGTGCAATGGCTCAATCTAGGCTCACTGCAACCTCCCCCTCCGGCTTCCAAGCGACTCTCCTGCCTTAGCCTCCCAAGTAGCTGAGATTACAGGCACCCGCCGCCACGCTCGGCTAATTTTTTGTATTTTTAGTAGAGACGGATTTTCACTATGTTGGCCAGGCTGGTCTCGAACTCCTGACCTCGTGATCTGCCTGCCCTGGCCTCCCAAAGTGCTGGGATTACAGCCATGAGCCACCTTGCCGGCCTGAATCTGCATTTCTATATATCACAATGCATCATTTAGTCTTTGTTTCGCCCCTGCTGGGAAGTGTATGTAGTTTAAATATTTGTAGTCCTGATCATACTCTCTCTAAATTGTCTTTTATTCCATTCTCAACATTCACTCTTCAGTGGTTTTCATGTGACAAGGTTTACCTCCATCCTATATTTTGGCACTGCCTAGCTAACAATCATAAAAACTAATTTTACTTCTCCGAAATTCATAAAGATTTAGATATCTCTAAAGCACCCTTTGGCTCAAAACTCTGTTTTCATAATTTTGTGCTACTTCTATTTGAGAAGAAGCAAATCATATTAGACCCATAATTTAAAGCCAACTCAAAATGCTTCACTGGTTCAAGTGCTGGGAAAAACATACCTACCAACAAACAAAAAGCATATCAAAGCAAAACCAAAATCTGTAACAGATAAAGAAAGTATTTTAAGGTTCCCAAGTGTTAAAAGGGTAGTCTAGGGTTGTTGATTACTTAAACCAAAGCGCTAGAACTTTTATGTATTAGAAGTGAGAAAGATATTCATACTAGAAGTTTAACTTTGTGACCATTTTGGGTATCAATTAATAAATTTTAAAAATGAAGCTCATTTTACTTCTCTGATATAAAATGTTTTCAGCCACATTAAGTAGGCATTTGCTAAATTTTAAAATAAAAGTTTGCTTTTTTATATTGTGAGGATAATTACATTTTATACTGGAAGATTTAAGGAGGACAGAAACTATTCTGAAGCAAATATTGTTGAAAGGCATCATATAGATGTAATGTTAACAGAATTTCATTTTCTTCAGAAAACTTCTGAAATGTTATACAAGATAATCTCTACAGACTCAATTTTTAAAAAGACACATATATATTTATTAATTTACATTTTTTAACCACATCCCAAAAAAAAATATTTGGCTCTTCAATTACTTAGGAGAAAATGGAGTATATCTTACTCTGAACATGAGCTTTATTACACCAAACTTACCTCAGTTAATCCATGGTTGACATCCTAAGACAGCAGTGCAGAATATAACAATAACGAGGAAAGAGCAATGTTAGTGTCCAAATTTAACTATTTCTATTCAAGGTAGCATTTCATATATTTTGCTACAGCAGAATATTGAAGTAATGAGGTAGAAAATACATCTACAATAAAATACCACCCCCCACACATGTATCTTATATATATATCTATAAATGTAAGATCTTTGTTTCAGGTACCTTGTGATCATAAAATTACTGAGGTTTGAACATAATGAAATTTGTTTTCAGCATTTAAGCACCCCCATTTGCAGAATTTAGGCATAATAAGACAACTAATCCTATGCCTGGCTTGGTCTTAAAAAAATAATTTCATGGCTGTTTCTCTACCCAAAAATGGAAAAAGCATTTCTCAGACTTTAAGACTTTTAAAATCTCAGCAAAATGTTTGACACCGTTTAGTAGATTAAAATGCTATATGGACAGGAAGAAATAAGCCATATATTGTTTTTGACAGAAAAAAACCCAGTAAAACATAAGGTATCTTACATTAAGCATTCTTTAAAGCTGAATTAATTTAAGACAGAAAGTACAGAAGAGAGAAAGGCTTGACAAGCAAAAAGAAATGAGAAGAGAAAGGCATATTAATTAAGGAAGTAATAGTGGAAATTATAATGAAAACTTATTAAACAGAAATGTACGAACATTCCACATATGCTCAGAGTAGACTTGTGTAAAGCACCAGAATCTGAAGAAAATATGTTACTAAATTTGTGGATGATGTCTTGTGTTATAAAGAATTAATTTTACCCCAGAAGACGGCATTGCCCTAGGTTACAGGGAGGCAACCTACAGACCTGTGGAATATCATGCCTGACAGGAGTGTCTTTGTTTGCCTGGGGCTTTAGCCACTGGACAATGTGGTTTATGATAGTGGCTTGGGCCTCGTGCTGTCAGTTCTGCCTCCAGAAGAGCTGAGAACTAGAGGTCACCACAAGAGCAGGAAGTGATTGAACCCCAGTAAAAACTCTGGGCACCAGCGTTCTGCTGCGCTTCCTTGGCTGGAAATGCTCTGTATTGTCACACATCTATGCCAGGAAAGTAATTCATCCATGACTCCACAAGGAAAGGACAACAGAAGCTCTGCCTCTGATATCTTTTCCAGACTCTGTCCTATGTGCTGCTTCTTTTGACTGATTTTTTTTTTTTTCCACAGATGGAACCTTTTATTTGTCACTATTAAAAGCCTACATTTTAAACAGATTCTTGGATTTGTACTCCACATCCATCTGCTCATATAACTTTAGCACCTGTCACACATCCCCAGTAGCCTTTCTAGAACTACTACCTTCGCCATGAAGCTCCCTGGTTTTCCCAATTCAAACTTGGGCATCTTCAGCATTTTTACTTTTCTAACAAGGACAAGCATGGAGAGGATAAATAGACTGGCAAGCCTTTTCTTTATCTTTTCCAATGTTGTGAGTAATCAATTTATTGACCACTTCTTTCAAGTCACTTGTCTGAACCTCTTGGATCATGATTTTCATCACCTTCTTTGGGATTTGATGGACCTGTTGGTGCTGAGAGTAAGAGGTCTTCTGTATCTGACTGTTGTGTTTCTTAGTAAAACCGACACAGTACAGTCGAAGCAAATAACCATTAGTGGTCTTGACATTAACATGAACTTCTTTCATGATCTATCAGTTTTGGCCACGGAACTCATTTTGTCCTGGGTAAGATCCATGCTGTGGAAGTTAGGAAGTTTTGGCCCTGAATATCCTCAGTAGTCCGCTTGAATTTTTAAAATACAATTTCATCATTCTGCAGATCAGAAAGGTTCACTTCAAACACACAGAACCCTTGAGGCCATCAGATATAATTTTGGCTCCTTGAGTCCTGGTGACTAGTGTTTCTCCAGTATTTCTTATGCTACACATAGCAGGTGCTTTCATACCATATCAATTATTTTTAGAAAGTAGACAACCGCTTCCTGGCTCCTTATTTGTCACCTTTCATAAGGTGCTTGTTCTTGCCAAATGTCATGGTGCTGTTCAGAGAGCCAAAAGGACTGTTGGCTGATTTTAACCCATTATCCTTTCCCTGTAATAAACCCTAATCATCAGTGTAACAATTTTCAGTGAGTTCAGGGAGGCCTTGCAGCAAATTAACAAACTTGAGAGTAGTTTGGGGGACCCTCCCCAAATTCACAATTGGTATCAGAGGTGAAGGCAGTCTTGTTCGGAATGTTCTCTTTAACTTTGTAGTTGACTAAGTTCCCACATGTCACCCGGGTATTATTGGAGGATTTAAGATATTAGCAAAGACTTTGGGTTCTCTCACTATACTGTGTTAAGTAAAGCCAAGGCAGTGTAAGCGTAAGCAAAACATGACTCTATGCAAATCCTATTCAGAGGAATAATATTATTGACGAGTTTCTTTAAAAAAATTCCGAGTACCAAGTTATTACTACGTAAGTGCTCCTATTGGCAGTGTAAACAAGATGAAAGTCTTTAGAGACTGTTCTGCAAAAAAGCCTTTTAGATTACACTCGGTTTAGCTAGAAGTCAAAATAAAAGAACATTTGAAACCCTTTTATAGTATACCTTATGGGACGTTTTTGAAAAAATAACTTTATTATTTTAAAGTGGCTTTACGTTCACAGCAAATTAAAAGGAAGGTACAGAGACTTCCAATATATCCCGGTACTCACACATGCACAGCCTTCACATCACCAATATTCCTCTTGTAGGACATTTAAAAAGTGGTATTACTACTAAGAAAGTTTAAATAAGCAAAAAAAAAAAAAAAGCCTATAAAAATTCATCTATGACCTGCTTGATAACTATACTACATACCAAGGGAGTTCATAGCATGGAAGATGGATTTTATTCTTAGCTAAGTAATGAAAGGTATGTATGCATTACCTTTTTTCTATTACACAGCATCTATATTAAATAGACACAGATGCTATGCACATCATTATCCACTGGGGAAGTCAATAAGATAATGTTAGAATTTATAGTGTCACTAACCCCATACTAAGCAGAGTATGATTTGGTTACACCAAAAATTTGGGGAGAAAGATGTGAACTGGTAAGAATATGAAAAATAATAGGACATGTGAAAAACCTGAGAAACAGAGGGATGATTAGACATGAGATAAAATCATTTTTCTAGGAGAGAGAGGCATCAAAGGGAAAACCAGATTAAGATAATTATTACAAATTTCAATTTAAGGATTAAGAATTGTAGACAAAGGCTCAAACATTTTAAAAGAGTAGATGCTAGGCAAGAATAAATTCTTCTGGGAAATATTAGAGTTGCAAGGTGGCTCAAATTTAATGCATCATACTAGTATTTCCAATGGAAATTTAAAAAAAAGACAAAGGGGAGCAGGGGCAGGGGGTGGGCAGGATAACAAAAACGTCTTAAGTCAACTAAAGGTCCACCGCTAAAAATTCAGCATACTACTCAATGTGAGAGCTACTACTGGCTCCAAATCCATAAACTCAAGCACTAACTGTTAGCTGTTTTTAGAGTGGAAACCCTGAAACTTGGGTTAAGGCATGCCTTTTTGTTATTTTTGAGACAGGGTCTCTCTCTCTGTTGTCTAGGCTGGAGTGCATTGGCACGATCTCAGCTCACTGCAACCTTTGCCTCCTGGGCTCAAGAAATCCACCCACCTCAGCCTCCCAAGAAGCTGGGACCACAGGTGTGCCACCATGCCTGGCTAATTTTTGTGTTTTTTTGTAAAGACGGCATTTCACCATGTTGCCCAAGCTAGTCTCGAACTTCTGAGCTCAAATGATCTGCCTGTCTTGACTTCCCAAAATGCTGGGATTACAGGCTTGAACCACCATGTGCAGCCAGGGCATGTCTAATTTTAGTTACTCAATGCCCTAGAAGCTGGAGTGACAAAGGACTAAAGGAACGTTCAAAAGTCGGGGTTTTATGACTTTACTAAGGCTGCTTTTAACACAAATTGTTAATGATGGTTCCAGTTCTTTTTCTTTTTTTTCTTTCATTTGCTCTTTATCAATGGTTCCAGTTTTTAAAGATAAAATAGATGCAGCACCTTGGCACTGCTGGTGTCATCTTGATTTAAGGGCATAACATGGGATTTCTCTGAGCAGTTACTAACCCAAAGAAAGTATACCAAAGTTACTGAAGTTATTCAAGTAAATATGAAGGGTCTTATCAGGTAAGAGAGAAATAAAAAGACATTTCTAAAACATAAAGAATATAAAAAATACACAAACATAATTTGATAATCTAATACATAAGGAAAAAAATGATATTATGATCAGCCTAAGAATCTTATTACTTATTACTGGATCCCTACAAAATATTAATGCCACTAAAAATGACTAGGGAGCTTTAAAAAACAAGGATGAACTTTTCTGAGCTGTGAGAAAGCACCAATTACTTCAGTCAACTTCTTTGCTTTATTAAATGAGAAAGAAATCTAACCCAGGAAAGTTAGATACTGGTATAACTTCCCAAAACTGGTCTACCCAGCTGTTATACTAGCCTATCTTCCTATTTTGCTGATGAACACATCATGTTGGTAGCTCAGCACCTGCCCAGAGTAATATACAACTTAACACAGAACAAATATGGTGATAATTTATACATATAGATTAATATGAAATGATTTATTACTTGTATAGAATATCAAAGACTGTAAAATGTTTGTTCACCGATTTACCATAGCAGCTTTCTTAGTACTTACTTGTATCTGACATACCTCTCAAATAGGTATACACGGTTTTAGAAAACATGCATATGTATTAAAAAAAAAGTTTCACTTGAATCTCATTGTAATTCAAACAAGACAGACCCAGTATAGACCTTTCTATACCTTATTGTGAATTAGTCAATTTTTACTAGGTATGTATGAGGATATGCATGAACCATAACTAAAAGTATTAGGAAGGGAATCAAAAAACAGCAAAGAGTTTGGTAGTAACCAATAAGGTATTTTTACAATTTAAAAGCAAAGTTAAAGGAGGATAAGGAAACTGAGGATAGTACATAGAAAGTGGGGAAAATCATTACATAGCAGAAGATAAAAAAGAGAGAGGAAAAACACACATGCTCTTTTATTTTGCCAAGAGATCATAGTAGAGGGGGAAAAAAAGATAAAAAGCAAAGGAATCCACATGAAAAAATAATTTTATTCATTGAGATCAGTGTCATGGAAAAAAACACAGAAGATTATACAGTAACTAGCAAGAGTAAGAGAATCAAGCAGGCTTCACAAAAACACATAAGGGGAATGAGGTAAAACAGGATGGAGAATGGAAGGCAATGAGGTGAAAAGTTAGATGTTTTAGCAGTACAAAATGATATTACAAGGAAAGCCAAGAATTTCATAGAATTAGTTATTAAAGTTTAGGGATCAGGGAAGTGTATACCTGATGGATTCTTAAATCCTTGACTGGGAAAGAAAGGTAAAGAAAAAAAAAACCCAAAAGATTATGGCATAGAGACAAAATTTTCTTGCAGTGTTTAGAATAAGGCAAAGCTACTAAATATAAATTATAAATCAAAGAACATCTGATACAGTTCACTGTGATCCAGGCAAATATGATTCTCTATGACAATGTTTCTCAAACTGGGCTGGCAGATCCCAGGGGATACATTCTTAGGGGGTGTATGAGTGCAATAGGAAAATTTTAAATTTAGGGTTTTATGCCAATAATTTAAAGGCTGATTTAAAAATCCAAAATTAGGATAACCCATTTATAATCCCAGTATTGCCATGAATCTTCAAGGTCTGCAATGGTTCTAAATATAACCAAACTGGTACCAAACAGGATCTCTGTAATTGCCTAGGATCTTAAATGATGGTGCTTCGTAAGTGAAGACCAAATGAATATCACAACTTATTCTAAAAGCAAATGTTTCATTATAGTGCACATAGAGAAAGGCAGTAAGAGAACAGTGTTATTAGACATGTCAGAATAAAAGCTACTGACAAATCGGTAGCCTGTGTCAAGGTAGCCAGCAACAATAATCACCATTTTATAAAGACTTAACTATGTGCCAGAAATTACTCTTAAGTCCTTCACATGGATCATATAAATTAATCTTCTCAAAACATTTAAGGTAGGTACTAATATCCTAATTTACAGAAAAGAAAATGAAATCTCAGAGAAATTAAGTAATTTTCCCAAGGACAGAAATGACTAGATCAGGCACTCTTATGTAAGTTACTCTGCTTCCTTATGATACATATTTATGCTGTGAGCCAGAATTCCTAATCATCACCACATTCTCCATAATAAATTAATTTTCCAATTTGTAAATTAATTAATTAATTAATTAATTCAGACGGAGTCTCACTCTGTCGCCCAGGCTGGAGTGCAATGGCCCAATCTCAGTTTAATACAACCTCTACCCTCTGGGTTCAAGCCATTCTCCTGCCTTAGCCTTCCAAGTAGCTGGGATTACAGGTGCTTACCACCACACTCAGCTAATTTTTGTGTTTTTAATAGAGATGGGGTTTCACCATATAGGCCAGGCTGATCTACAACTCCTGACCTCAGGTGATCTGCCCGACTCAGCCTTCCAAAGTGCTGGGATTACAGACATGTGGCACTGTGCCCAGACTGTAATGTTATTTACTTATTTTTTGAGATGGAGTCTCACTCTGTCGCCCAGGCTGGAGTGTGGTGGCATGACCTCAGCTCAATGCAGCCTCCATCCCTCTGGTTCAAGCGATCCTGCCTCAGCCTTCTGAGTAGCTGAGATTACAGGCACACACCACTGTGCCTGGCTAATTTTTTTGGTATTTTTTTAGAGATGGGGTTTCACCATCTTGGCCAGGCTGGTGTTGAACTCCTGACCTTGTGATCCACCGGTCCCGGCCTCCAAAGTGCTGAGATCACAGGCATGAGCCACCGTGCCCGGCCTGCAATGTTATTTATAATTATAAATTTGTTGTGGTCTTAGAGTTCTTTAAAGAGCTAAGCACTAGTTTAAGAGTTTAGAACTAGTTTAATGTGTGTATGTATTTATATGATATGTAAGTGAACACTGGGTTTCTTAAGAAATTGTTCTTCTTTAAAAGGGTCTACATATCCCTCCAAATGTTCTGCATCCTTTCAAAAATACTGCTAAAAGACCTAGGTACCCTAGTTGGTGTGTGAGGGTATATATGCAAAGTCTTGGTATGAACAAAGTTCATCTCATTTATATTGCAATAAATATCTTATGCTCATAATGCAAAATTTGCATTTAAAGACAGAAAATTAGCCTCCATTCAAGTCTTGCTGTGGGAAGGTTAAATCCTTAAGAGATAGGTTATTTCTCCTGCCTTCACAGGTTCTCTGCAGAAAGAGTTTGAGAAGCTTTACCTAGGTCAGAGATGAAGGAAAAAGAAAGTATTTATTCAAAAGTCTGCTGAAGTCAATTATTTTCTTTCTTAAAAAATTATCCCTTGATTCCAGCTACCACTTCATTTTTTTTTTTTTTTTGGCTCCTCTTCAATGCAGAACCTCTTCAAAGTATTGCCTATATTTTGTTATGGCTTCCTCACCTCTAAATCTCTCTTTGTAACACCCCAACCCTAGAATGGTATTATCAAGGTTACTGATTACCCTCACGTAACCAAATTAACTGTCAAGTTCTATGGTTTTATCCTCCTCCTCTGCAGCATTCAACACAGTCTCTCTTTCACTTTTAAATTTTGGTTTCCCTCTCCTGCTTTTCCCTCTACCACACCTGCTTTTTAATCTTTGTGGATTTCTCTACTTTCCTCATCTCATATCCAAACCATCAGTAATTTTTAACTTCCCTTTGTCTCCAAGATTCTCTTTTATCTCCAAGATGTATTCCAAGTCCACTTCCTTCTTCTATCTACACAACTACCATCCTAGTCAAACCTATAATTTCCTTTCCCCTAATCTACTAAAATATAGTTTTCTCATGGGTCTCCCTCTTTCATTTCTGTCCCATTCTACACATAACCAACAAAGTGATTATTCAAAAAGATCAGAGTATGTTTCCCCTGTTTATTGTAATACTTTAGATAAAATCCAAACTCCTAACCCTAATTTATGAAACTCTCTATGATTTGGCCCCTGTCCATTTCTCTGTTCCCTCCTCACTCCCATAAGCCATGCTGGCTTTTTTCTTTTTTCTTTTCTTTTTTGAGACGGAGTCTTGCACTGTCACCTGGACTGGAGTGCAATGGCACGATCTGGGCTTACTGAAACCTCCGCCTCCTGGGTTCAAGAGATTCTCCTGCCTCAGCCTCCCGAGAAGCTGGGATTACAGGCACCTGCCACCATGCCTGGCTAATTTTTTGCATTTTTAGTAGAGATAGGTTTTCACTATGTTGGCCAGGCTGGTCTCGAACTCCTGACCTCGTGATCTGCCAGCCTTGGTCTCCCAAAGTGCTGAGATTACAGGCCTGAGCCACTGCGCCATGCTGACTTTTTCTGACCTTTCAATCTTGTCAAGCTTGTTTTTACCTAAGGTCTTTTACTAAATGTTCATTGTTCTTGAAATTCTTTCTGCTCTGATCTTAAAGGGCTGCTCCGTGTCATTCAGATTAACATTCCATACTTCATTAGACAAGTCTTTTCTGAAACCTATCTTTACTAAGTCGCCTCAATTTTAATACTACATATTACTAGCTGGTATTTTTTGCTTTGTTTGACTATTGTCAATCTTGCCGACTAGATTACGAATTCCATGAGAAACAAGGCTCTAATCTGTCTGGTTCACCACTGTGTTTCTAATACCTAAATCAGTGCCTGCTACATAACAGATTCTCATTGTTGAATAGCAAGTGAGTAGATCTAAATCTATAGAATGGCTATAAACCTGATCCAGCCTCAAGGTAATTCAGGAGAAAAGTCAATGAGTCTCTCCCAGTCCAGACCCAAGTACACCAGAGAAGGAAAAGATGTCTAGAAGCAACCTGATCCCAGGAGGTGGGAGTATCCTAAAAACAGTATGTACTAGCCAGACTGTCATTCAAAAACTACTGTGCTTTTTTAGTCCTTACTAGACATATTCTAGACACTGTCAGGGGTGCTGGTTAACAACAGTACCCATCTACAAGGAGTTTACAGCTGATGCCTAGCAAGCAATGAAACTTATTACATAACTGCTGGACACATATTAAACTACCTCTGTGCAGAAAAGTGGGACTGAAGTATACTAAAATGGCTAGCAAATAAGAGTATTAAACCTAAGTATTTTGAATCTAGCTGCTTACCCATTTCTGCATTAAAATTTTATGTACCTAATTCAAGTTTTATAAGACAATGATATTATTTTAATGGGATAATGTCTAGTTATTAAAGACTTAGCCACATAAGAAGATGTATGCACCCACATTTATATAAAAAATCTGAAATAAAACTAAACACATAATCAGCTCACTGCAACCTCCACCTCCCAGGTTCAAGTGATTCTCATGTCTCAGCCACCTGAGTAGCTGGATTACAGGTGCGTACCACCATACTCAGCTAACTTTTTGTATTTTTAGTAGAGATGGAGTTTTGTCACGTTGCCCAGGCTGGTCTTGAAATCCTGAGCTCAGGCAATCTACTTGCCTCAGGCTCCCAAAGTGCTAAGATTACAGGCATGAGCCACTACAACCAGCCTTCTTTGGTAGTCTTGCAGCACCAGTTTCAAAACAATAATGCATTTTCAGGAGTTCCACTATGAAGAATACCAGTATTTTCAACACTGGAGAAGTAAGAGGCAACATTATGGAAAATAAACGAATTAAAAATCCATGTCACATTTGTAGTATTTTTTTTCTAGTGTAATTCATCTCTTTGGTTTGGCTTTGGTAAAAGAGTATAATATTTGCATATAAATACTGAATAACATATAGCACTCCTTTGCAATGTGTTTTTATTTAAAAAGTAAGCTCTGGATAAAAGTTCTGAAAAAATATTCTCATTTCAAAACCAAGCAATTGCTTCATTTTTATTAGATACATATATATAAAAATAAAATCACAAATTGCACAGGAAACCTACCATTCCATAGGCCTGCTGTTGGACCCAGTTGATATAATCATTCCTTATGTCTATCAATTCTTGTACTTCATGTATATAAAATTTATCATACTGTATAATCTGTCCCGTTTTCTCATTTACCTACAAGAGAAAGTATAATTGACATTAAATTTAATCAGTACTCAAGACAGAGAAATTTAAAATGTCTAAAGAAAAAAAGATTTGGGGATTTTCTTGCTAATTTTTTCTTCCTACAAAAAATAATTACTGAGTGCCTACTATATGCAAAATGCTAGTTAAGTGCTATGGAAGACATAAAGATTTGTAAGATGTGATATCTGCAGTCAGTACCCCAAAATCTAGAAAAGAAAGACACATCTTTATAACCACAACACAGTATGAGATATGTATCAATAAAGTGTATATGGTATATATAAACTAGATACTACAAGGATTTATGGTTGGGAAATGGGACCTTAATAATAGCAGCTAATGCTTGTGAAGTGTTACTTTGTGCTGGCATCTGATCAGAATAAACTTTAGGAGGTGATATCTGGACAAGATGTGAAAAATGAAGAGGATGCAAATTACCACCCCAGAGATTACCTACTAAGTACAAAGATAAAAATAAATATTTACAGTGGAGAGCACCATCTTAATTAAGTGATCTAACTAATCATTACCAATACTGGAACAATGAAATATAATGTTCTTGGTGATATAACTCAACAAGAGGCATACGTATGATCTATGAAGTAAAAACAGTTTCACCCAAATCCAATCAAGTCTCCTAAATTCTAGTTTACTGCAAATACAAGGGAGAGAAACTAGTTAAACAAACAAATACAAGGGAGAGAAACCAGTTAAATAAACATCACAATGAGGAAATAATCAGACAAATCCTGATTATGAAGCTTTTATAAGAAAACTGGCCAAGACTTCAAAAAAATCAAGGTAGTAGGGATTAAAAAACAAAAAAAAAGGGTAAGAGCTATTCTAAATTAAAAGAGACTAGAGGAATTCTGGTACTAAATATGGCAGAATACTTTTGTATCGGTATTAACAATTATAATTAACAATAACAATTATAAGCTTCAGACAATACATTAAAGAACAACTACTGTACTTAAAAACACTGGAGAGCAACCAAAAGTAGACAGAAACAGGAATGGATACAAGTAGAGGATATAGCTCAAGCAGAAAACAGCAGTCTTAACAGACAAAGACTGAAGCTGCCAGCACAGCCAGATAGTGAGGAATAAAAAATCAAAAGAAAGGAATCCAGAGGATGAAGCTCCAAAATCTGTGTGCAAATTCCGACAACATCCTTGGCTAACTCTAAACCATGAATGCACAAAGACTTGCCAAAAATAAATAAAATAAATAAACAAAGCCCAAACCAACAGAAAGCACAGCTGAAAGGGTACTCTTAAAGAAGGGGTTCAAAGAAAGCATTTCCAGGGGAAAAGGGGCACATTTCATAATAATAGAAGGATTAATCCACCAAGAAGTCACAACAATCCAAAACAGGAGAGCTTGAAAACATATGAAAGAGAAATCAACAGAACCACCATCATAGTTGGAGATTAATATCCCCTCTCATTAACTGATAGAAAAAAATAAACAAAACCAGCATGTTTAAATGATCTTAACAGCAATTTCAACCAACTTGCACTCACTGTCATAGAACACTTCACCCAATAATTGTACGTGAAATGTTCACTAAGATAGACCAAATCCTGGACCATACTGTAAGTCTTAATACATTTAAAAGAATCCAAAGTATACAACATATGTACTCTGTCAACAATGGAATCAAACTAAAATCAGTAACAGAAAGAGATTTGGAAAATCCTAGAATGCTGGCAATTAAATATAATACTTCTAAGTTACTGAAAACTTTTCTTCAACCTGTGAGAGAGCTAAAGTCACAAGATAACCAACTAGCCTGAATTCCAAGGATCAACAAATACAAGTCAGGGTACCAGAAATGGCTCATTTGTGACACAGTGCAAGAGGAAACTACTACTGTCATACATGCAGAATACGGTAAAATTTTAAGGATCACTTTAAAGCTGAGTGTGGGGTGGCTTGACAGTATGAAACTCCGCAGAGTCCCAGGCAATTGGCATTCACTCATAGCCTCTTTTCCATAGACTGCCACTGGGTACCCAGGAAAACAACTGGAAACACAGCAGAGGGGGTAAACAAAAAGAAACAAGGCAGAAGAACAAGAACCTCTCTCAATGGTACAGGAATTAGCTGCCACATGAGAAAGGAACGAAGGCCCACCAACCTGTCCAGATTCTTCCCTCACACAGAGCAAAAGCCTTGAGCCACTGAGGAAGGGGAAGCAAACCCCTATCTTGTTGCTGAGGGAGGGAAAAACCTTCAATTCCTGGGAGGAAAGGTGACAAGAACAGTCCTAGGTGTAGAATCTTCTATCAGTAGGACTAGTGGTTTACAATTGCTGAGGGAGGGAGCAGAAAATTCCACACAAAAAGATCCAAGCAGAGTTTGGCTGCCACTTGGTCAGTTCCATTCAAGGTTCAGACACATATAATCTACCTAACACCAAGGCTACATCACAACAACCAAGTTCCATTCGAGGTTCAGACACATATCATCTACCTAACACCAAGGCTACATCACAACAACCAAGAACCATTTCTATTCCCTCTCCTCTACCAATCTTGAAAGCACTGGGTAAAAAGCAACATCAGTTTACAACTGACAGGGGGAAAGAGTGAGAAGAAAACCCCTCTAAGAAGCAGGCATAAAGAAAGGGGCACAAACATTCACAAAAACCATTTGACACCCCACTTCTACCCTACACACACTATACTACAGGCCTCAAATTCCTCTAATGTTAGAGGCCTCAAATTCCTCTAGCATTAGAGGCCTGTAGTGTAATGAAGGTATTTACAGCAAATTAAAAATTTAATCCCATCTTAACTCCTGAATACAGACTCAAATTCCTACACTAATACCAGACAGAAGAGGTGTACCCATTTATAAGTTTTAAATCTACTTATTTCAGTTTCTTACTATTTTATAGATAACCCAAAATTATGAGACATCAAAAATCAACTGAACAGGCCGGGCGTGGTGGCTCATGCCTACAATCCCAGCACTCTGGGAGGTTGAGGCAGGCAGATCATCTGAGGTCAGCCTGGCCAACATGGTGAAACCCAATGTCTACTAAAAATACAAAAATTAGCTGGGTGTGGTGGCACATGCCTGTAATCCCAGCAACCTGGGAGGCTAAGACACGAGGATCACTTGAACCCAGAAGGTGGAGATTGCAGTGAGCCAAGAACATGTCACTGCACTCTAGCCTGGGTGACTAGAGTGAGACTCTGCCTCAAAACAAAAAACCTGAACAAAACAAAAAACTGTCTAAAGACGAAGCAATCAATAGAGTCAGATTCAGAGAAGACCCAAATGTTGGAGCTAGGAAACAGGGAGGGATGGGCGTTAGGAAAATATTTTGAACTTAAAAGTCATAACATCAAAATCTGTGGGATGCTAATGACTCCAGGCACAAAAGAAAATCTATAGAATTAAATGATGATATTAGGAATAAATGGTCTAAAATCAATGATCAATGTTTCTGCTTTCAGAATCTAGAAAAAGGTCTACACCTGTAATCCCAGCACTTTGGGAGGCTGAGGCAGGCAGATCACGAGGTCAGGAGATCAAGACCATCCTGGGTAACACGGTGAAACCCTGCCTCTACTAAAAATACAAAAAATTAGCCAGACATGTGGCACGTACCTGTAGCCCCGCTACTTGGGAGGCTGAAGCAGGAGAATCATTTGAACCTGGGAGATGGAAGTTGCAGTGAGCTGAGATCGTGCCACTATACTCCAGCCTGGGCGACAGAGTGAGACTCCGTCACCACAAAAAAAGAAAAAGAAAAAGAATCTAGAAAAAGATCAAATTAAGCACAAACCAAGCAGAAGGAAATAAAGAACAGAAATCAATGAAAGAGAAAACAGAAAAAGAAAAACACTAGAGAAGAAATTAAAAGTAAATGGGTTTTATGAAAAGATCAATAATAAATAAACCTACAGTCAGACTGACGAAGAAAAAGAGATGACACAAATTACCACTATCAGAATTAAAGAAGAAACATGATCACACAGATATCTTGGTAAAACTGACTGAAGAAGCAAGAGAAAACATGAAATATCCTATATTTATTTTTAAAATTTTCCCAAAAGAAAATTCCAGAACCAAAATGATTTCACTGATGAATTATATCAAACATTTAATGAAGAAATAATACCAATCTTAACCAAACTTTTTCAGAAAATAAAGGATCACTTCTTAATTCATTTTATGAAGCCAAAATAAACTTGATACCAAAAGCTGACAGCAGTTTGAGAAATAAAAACTACAGATCAATATCCCTCATGAACACAGATACAAAACCCTCAATAAAATATTAGCAAAGTAAATCCAATAATATATAAAGTATAATATAAATATAATGCCAAGTAAAGTTGATCTCAAGAATGCAAGATTGCTTTAATATCTATCAACACATTTCATAATATTTCTTTAAAAAAAAAAAAAAGGAGAGAAAAAATCATCTGTTCATCTCAACAAATAGAAATAACACCTGACAAAATTCAACATCCGTTCATAATAAACACTCAGCAAACGAGAAATGGAAGAAAATTTCTTCAAACAGATAAAATCCATCTAATCTGCCCCCCATATTTAACATTATACTTACTGTTAAGATAGTGAATGCTTTCTTTCTAAGATTAGAGACTAGGCAAGGATGACCACTATAACCACTTATATTCAGCATTGTACTAGAAGTCTTAGTTAATAAAATATGGCAAGAAAACTACATGACTGTGTATACAAAAAAGCCAAATGAACCTATCTATAAGAGAATTACCAGAACGAAGAATTTGTCAAGGTCATAGGGTAAAAGGCCAACATTCAAAACTTGATTGATTTTCTCCAGGCCGGGCTCGATGGCTCACACCTGTATCCCAGGAGTTTGGGAGGCTGAGGTGGGCGGATCATCTGAGGTCAGGAGTTTGAGACCAGCCTGACCAACATGGTGAAGCCCCATCTCTACTAAAAATGTAAGAATTAGCTGGGCATGGTGGTGGGTGCCT